GCAGCAGAACACACTCCCCACACTGCTCTGAAAAATACTGCTCTGTGTTGCCTTGCCAACTCACATGAAGAATGTATCCAAAAGTGTTGCTTGCAATGTTTACCACTGCAAGAGGGGGAAAAACTATGAGGTTTGTATTGCTAATTTGCCTGATGTTTCCAATCAGCATGCACACAGGCTTCTTTCTCTTCAGACAAACTTACTGGTAGGCATGTTCTTAGATTATTATTATATGAAATTAATTGCACCACTGACTGTATTTATTACAATTGTTTGCCAAATTATTTGTTAACTCTGCTTCATTGGTTTATTCTAAAATCTGGTCAGCTAGTGTCTCTTCTGCCATAATAAATGGGTTTTGTGTAAGACTAAAATGTACAGGGAGATACAAACCAAAACACATTAAGACGACAGCAAATGTACCATAATCTGTTTTTAAGATCATACTTCAACCTGAAGACAGCATCAAGACTGAGCTGGTTTTACACAGCTGCAGGTCAGTGCCCCATTCTACATGCATGCTAGATGATTTTGCAGAACATTGCCTGTTTCCCTATGAAAAGCCTTCCAACAAACCCAAATGGCTTTTTCATAGTATACACAGTCTCTTGCTGGAATACAGCCACCAAACTAAACAAATTCATCAACTCATCATCCAAAAGTAAAAATTCAGCATTTGTTTTCCCATTTGATTATTATGATTTAACATCTCATTAAGTCAATGTAGTGGAGACGGGGTCAGGAAACAGAATTGTTATGGAACAGATGGCAGCCACTTTATATTCTCCGAGCTAAATAATTAATTCACTGAAAGATCATTCCAAAAGGGGAAAAATCAGTGTTACATTGGACAGCTTGTTAAGGCAGCCAAACACATATATCTGACCAAGATACACGACAGTGAAGCACCACATGCTTATCTTCTTCTATTTTGAAAAGCAGCTTGTTTAACTGAGTGCTGCCTTTGCACTAGCAATATACACTGCTTCATTTCAAATACTGGCAGCTCATTTCTCACTGCCTGCCTTATTAAGATGAATCACACTTTTAATAGCATAAATGAAACTGGTCTGGAAAATGCAGTTTCATCAGCTGTTAATGGCAATTTTTTTTAAAAAAAGCCACATTGTTGCTAACCACAAAGGCAATAGCTAAATGCCAGGCTTCCTAGAGCATCTTGTAAAGCTGGACTAGTGCCATTGGATAGCATGCTACAATTAACCAGAAAAATAAGTTTCTAATGTATCTTACGCTAAGTGTCTATAATCTGTTGACTTATTCTGATATGGATTTGACATGCTGGGACCAATGGCTAGTCCAGTTTCTGCTGAATGAAGCACACATGCTTCTAAACTTTAATAAATTAAGGGGCAAAGGACAAGGGAGGTCGTACAGAATTTAGCAAAAGGCCAACACCTTACAGACTACAGTGGTGCCTCATATAACGAGTGCCCCGTTTAATGACGAATTCGCATAGCGATGGCAAAAATGCCATCGCTTTTGCGATCGTATAACGAAGGTGCCTATGGGGAAAAATCGCTTTGCGATGTTTTCCCCGTAGGCACCATTTTCCCCCAGCTGAGCGGCGGGAGCCTCCAAAGGAGCGCTCCCGCCACTCAGCTGGGGGAAAATGCCTGCGGTGGCCTTCGAAGGACCCTTCCGTGGGGGGAAGGTGGGGAGACCCGGTGCCTGTCAGGCATCCTGGGCTCGGCAGCGCAGGGCCGCAGGGACATGGTGGAGGGGTCCTGAAGGTTTCCAGGCTTTTGCCTGGAAGCCTTCGGGATCCCCCTCCACCCTGTCCCCTTCGCTGGCAGCCACCCTCACTGCTTTCCCCAGCCTGGATCGGGCTCCTGGGAGTCCGATCTCGGCTAGGAAAGGCAGCGCGGGGCGG